AAGCTAAGCTAAGCTAAGCTTTAAGCTAACTGCTAATGCAAATTTAAAAAAGCTGTAATTCAGCCATTTTAAGACTTACAGAGCTGAAAACTGATATAGTTGTGTTTAAGAACAAGCTTTGACAAATTTTGAATACTAAATAAAAATTCATGATGGCCACCAGCTAATTTGAAGCTGCAATAATTCGGCTATTTTAATACATATTGGGCTACAATTTGGTGTGGTGGTAAGGACAATCCCCATCACATAATAAARCCACGGGAAAAATCCAAGATGGCTGCCATAGCTAAAAAGCAAAATTGACCACAACTCAGCCATTTTTAAACATATTTGGCTCAGATTTGGGATGATAGTAAATCACAGTGATCTCAACAAAGTACATTTTTATTTAAAGATGGTTTGTGACGAGCCCTTTCAGGAACTATTCTAGTTTGTTTGTTTTCTTTCTTTTTTTGTAATTAACACTAATATTTCAGCAATTATAACTTTCACATTTCAGTTTTATTTTATACTTTTACAGAAAAAGTCTATGTTTTTTCCAGTTCTGTTTGTTATTTGTCCCTGGAGCATGACGTGTGTGTACCTGAGCAGGTAAGGAGCTGGTGGATTACATCTCTCGGTACCTGAGCTCCATCAGAGACAGGCGGGTCATTCCAGACGTGAAGCCGGGTTACCTGCGTGAGCTGCTTCCTGCGGCGGCGCCTGCAGAACCCGAGGACTGGGAGAACATCTTCAACGACATCGAGAGAGTCATCATGCCAGGAGTGAGCTCCTGTTCCCGCCTGCCGTCTGCTTAATTGTTTTATTTATATCAGTAAATAAGTTTTATTGTGTTTTGTTGTGTTGTGTTGTGTTGTGTTGACGCAGGTTGTTCACTGGCAGAGCCCTCACAACCACGCCTACTTCCCCTGCCTGACCTCGTGGCCGTCCATGCTGGGCGACATGTTGGCCGACGCCATCAACTGTTTGGGATTCACCTGGGTCAGTAAACAACAAACAACAACAAACAACAACAACAACAACACGAATAAATAAAAGAGACTCCAGAATTTTAGAAGTGGGGTTCTGTGGAAACATAATTAACAGTAAACATCCTACCTGCAGTAGATAGTTGAGTTTGGCTGCAGAACAAAGCGACCTCTGTCCGTTTAACGCTGTGTTTGGGTCATGAACAGGCATCCAGCCCGGTCTGCACAGAACTGGAGATGATTCTGATGGACTGGTTGTGCAAAGCGCTCGGACTTCCTGTTTTCTTCCTGCATCATCATCCTGACAGCCGAGGAGGAGGAGTTCTGCAGGTCTGTTTTTTTGTTTTTTGTTTTTTTGTGATCTCAATACTTCTGCAGACTTTGTGCTGTTTTAGCTGTTTGTGTCAAAGGTTCGGCTGATTCAGGAGGAGGAGGAGCATCTGACAGCTGCTTTTAGAAACCGTTATGCTACATTTACACCAAACACGTTTTGAGCATCAGGAGCGTCTGGTTTACATGTAGGATCATTCCAGTGTCCATTATTGTGACAGAGGTAAAAAGGACTTTGCCTGGAGGAGGAGTAGTGAGGAAGTCAGCTGTAAGTTATGAAAACTACGGTTTAAAGGCTCCTCCTCCCAGACGAGCGTCTACGTTCACCTGGAACACGTCTGTCCTCACTGGACACCAGCGTCAGCAGGTGTGCAACACGTTTGGTGTAAATGTAGCATTGGTTATGAAATATCCTTCTTTCAGTTTTGCTATTTTTATTTTCTTTTTACTTTTTGTAATTTTAGCTTACATTTAATTACTTTATAAAATAATTTAGTTAACTTTTCATGATTTTCTTGTGTTTTTATGCTAAATTTAGCTTTTTGCTACTTTTGACTTACAGCTAGCATTTTGATACGTTTAGCATTTAGATGGTCTGTATTTGGTTCTGATGGTCTGTACTTGGTTCTGAAGGTCTGTACTTAGTTCTGATGGTCTGTACTTGGTTCTGTATTTGGTTCTAATGGTCTGTACTTGGTTCTGATGATCTGTATTTGGTTCTGATGGTCTGTACTTGGTTCTAATGGTCTGTATTTGGTTCTGATGGTCTGTATTTGGTTCTGATGGTCTGTACTTGGTTCTGATGGTCTGTATTTGGNGGCGTGTCTTGTTCTCAGAGGGTGTGGTCTCTGGTTCTGAGGGTCTATAAAGGGTTCTGTGGTCTCTGGTTCTGGTCCAGTCCTCGTCCCTGCAGCCTCTTGTTGCTCCTCTCTGCTCGCTCAGAATGCAGGCTGAGGAATACAACCGCAGAGGTGAGTCCAGATTCATCATCGGTCTGTTCAGCTGCTCCTCTTCTCTTTCTGAAGATTTCAGCTGTTTCTGCAGACTTTAGTTGTTTCTGCAGACTTTAGCTGTTTCTGCAGACTTTAGCTGTTTCTGCAGACTAAATGTTTCTGCAGACTTTAGCTGTTTCTGCAGACTTTAGTTGTTTCTGCAGACTTTAGCTGTTTCTGCAGACTTTAGCTGTTTCTGCAGACTTTAGTTG